CTTTCTTTTTCTTTGTCCCCCTCCCCTAGCTGCTATTTTGGTCCTTCCTCCATGATGGTGAGGAGTGAGCCTCTTTTCATGTCAGGATGCCAGGCCCCCGCCACCCTGTAAACAGCTGAAGGATGTGGTAGGAGACAAACTTTCCACTGAGATAACTTTGAACTGGTCCCTTTATGCAGGGCCTCCCCAGCTTCTCCCGGCTGAGGAGACCCTATCCCATCTCTCCAGGCCAGGCCAGAGGCTCACGGTCAATTCTAGAGGGAACCCTGAGGATCAGCCACATCTCAGTGTCCCTGCCCACCTTGAGGAGCGTCATGGTGGGGGGGCTTCATGAATCTACAGAAGTGGCAGCCACATGTGGGGAGATGAGGAGTGGAGCTTCTCAGGTGTACCCTGCAGGTGAGCGCTAGTCCCGGAGGCTGGTGACCAGCCAGCAAGGTAGGAATCTCCGAGCCTCCAAGCCACATCTATGCTGGTTCTGGATAGATAATCCTTCCAGAGACTCCTCCTGGCCTAACTGCTCACCACTACCCCCTCCCCATCCACTGGGACTCTTCCAGACATCTTGAGGATATAAATGAACTGTGAGGTTTGCAGAAGGGCACGTGGCTCTAGACCAGCACGCACACCACAGCAGACATGGACAGGGGGCTTTAGCGTAGACCTTGCCACCCTCAGGAGGTCACTCAGAGTGATAGGCAAGGCCTGGTTACACCATGCCAACTTGGGAGAAAGACCAGTTCCCAGCCTCAGTTTCCTTCACTGTACAGTAGGCCCAGGACAGCTAAGTGTGCAGTGGGCTCAGGACTGAAGCTGCCATTATCGAATCAGTATAAACATCTCTGTTGAGGTTTGAGGCTGTTGGGTACAAAAAGTCATTCTCAAAACCAGTGAACTCTATGAAATCCAAGCTTTTCTCCAGTCTTCCCCATCTCCCCCACCTGCAGTCCTGGCTCTTGTGTTCACTAGGGGCTCATAGAACCTCTTTCTTACACCGGAGATCTTTCGGAAGTTCCCTCTTATCAAATCACTCCTTAGGACCTCAAGAACAATGACCAACATCCACAGGCCTCCAAGACACTTGCAATGGTCTTTCCTACCTGGACTCCCTGCTTGTGGACTGCAGGTAGCATGAACCCAATTTGGATGCATTTATGAATATTTTCATTTTCTTATCCTGCAAACTCCTATACATCCTTCAATGGCCAGATCAGTTATCCCTTGTTTTATCCTGTTTTCTCCCACCACACCCTTTCAGGCAATTAGTTTCTTCATCTCTGTTTCCACCATAGCAATGTGGGTGGTGTCCTGCGAAAGATGGAGGTTATGTGCTTGGATGACAAGTGGGAAAAACAAAACAAAACAAAAAAGCCCTTGAATATGGTCAGCATTTCAGGAAGATGCTTGCATGAGACCATGCAGTGCTGCCTTCAGTCTAGACGTTTCTCCCCGAAGTCGCAGATCAATTCAATAAAACAGTTCGTTTCAGGCCATTCCACGTGAGAAATGAATCTTTGGTAGCAACAAGCCTTCCAGGGTAGGGAGATGCCCACATGTGCCCAGGATGGAGAGTCTGAGGGGCGGTCACAGAAGGCCTGCCTCCTGTCCTGCCCCCCCTAGGCTTGTTCTCAGGGGAACAGTGAGCTTGGTTGGGGCTACGGGTGCCTGGGAGGCTCACGGAGGTTCCTGTGGGTTAGACACGATGTGTCCTCACCGTGTAAGCAAGTGGCTCCTCACTGGACCTTTTGAGTTGGGAGGAAAATCCTGCCAAGCTATGTAGCTTCTAGCTAGCCAGTAAACTTCTCTGGGCCTCAATTTCTTTATAAGTGGTGCAAATAAAACTTTCTCAGAGTGCCCTTATCATGATGATATAAAATTACATCCACCTGGCAAACACTGCTCACCTCTGTTACCTCTATCAACTTTGTCATCCCATCCACAACCCAGACTGTGATGTCCCCAAGAGTGAGGGCGAGGTTCCATTCCTGTCTGTTTGCCCAACCCCTCCCCACCCAAGACCCTGGCTTCCTGTGGGTATTAAACCATCTGTCCCTGAGCTCAGGTGCCAGGGGGTCAGTGACCCTGTACTAGGAGAGGGGGGACAGACACAGCCCTGTTTATCATCTGTCTCTGCCCTGACAGACTATCTGGTGTCCCCAGGCCTGGAGTGTGCAGCCGGAGGTGGAAGCTTTGCTAGGCTTGGCAGCATGGCTCTGGCTACCCAGGGACGAACAAGGGTGTTCAGCCTAGACTCATCCATGTCATTTTTTTAGTAGTGTGACACTGAACCTCTATGAGCCTTAACCCTCTCACCCACAGAACAGGGCTGGCTGGAGAGCTAGACAGCTCTTCCCAACCTCAGTTTCTCGGTGTCATTGTTCACATCTAACTACAGACTTAGACAGCCAGTTCCTCCCCAACGTCATTGCTGGTGCTGCTGATTCTGCTGGACGTGCTCAGGTGTCACCTCCTGAAGGCCTTCCTTGCAGGCCTGGAACAGCTAGCTCAGGGGTTCTGCCGAGCTGGCAAATCCTCCGCCATCCTTCAGCCAGTCCAAGAATCTGAAAGTGGTGGCAGCCCCCCTCTCTAATCGTGTGTCCCTCCATCTCTGCAGCCACCTTTGCCTGGGTAGGGTTCCTCTGAGGGCTCTCACCCATACCTGCGACTCTTTGGCCTTTTCTAACTCAAGGGTCTATGAGAGTGGAGGGGGAAATCACCAGCTTTGTCAGGGACTTCGCTGCCAGCTACTCCATCATGCTGGCTGCTTAGAAACAGGGGTGGCATAGGGTAAGAAAGGCCTTCCTGCTGGGTCCTATCCCCCTCCTCCCCTGCTACATGGTGCCCAGAGACTGGGAGGTGGCAGGAGAGACATCTCAGCGGTCCCCATTTCTCGAGGACTTGGGCGATCTGGGTTTAGAGACAGTGCCCCCTCTATGTTTGAGGCTTGAGTGGGGATAAGGAGGCCGAATTTGTGACTCCATACTAATTCCTTCTCAGTGACCTGGGGACAAGACTCTTCCCATCCCATCTCCTCTCCCCTTCTTCTAATGTCAGACTTTTTAATTATCTACCAGTGTGGGAGCTTTTGATGCAGAGCTCCTGGCCCTCCTTCACACCGTGATTTTCTGTGCACACCCAGAAGCCAAGCTTCTGCTAGCAGAGGACCAGAGAGGGTGAGCAGCTGGCCTGAGGGGCCTCAGGATTTATGAAACAGCGCTAGTGGTCGAACCCAGCCTGTGGTGTGAAAAGCTTTCCCAGGACTTCAGGCCAGGAGTATGCCCCGCCCACCGCAGCTGGGGCTCCTCCCCTAGGAATCCCCCGCAATGGTGGGCAGACTTTACTGGGAGGTACCCGCATCACAGGCGACAACATCCTGGGACGGTTGCCGGTTGCCCCGGGAGCGCCTGTGGCTGGTACAGCAGTACCCGGAGCAAAAGCAGGCCCGTAAACCAGCACCCCGGCTCCCCGAGGCTGGACCCACACTGTGCAGGCGGAGTAGGGCCGTGGCTGGAGCAAGATTAAAGTCACAGGCAGACGAACTCAGTCCCACCCAGGCAGCATGGCTGCAGCGTTGGTCCTGTCTGGGGAGACCTGTCAGGATGCGGGCAGCCAGCTCCTGTGGCAAAGCCAGCCTAGCCCACAGGCCTGGGTAGCTCCCATCTGCAGCCCATCCTTTGCACAGTGGGCCCGGGTCTCCTTTCCCTGCACTGGCCAGGGTGCCAGGCCACAGTGGATGGGAGCCCTGACGTCTCTGCCGAATCGGATCAAAGCTGCCCTTGCTTTGCCCACAGCTAGCATGGATCCTTGGCACAGGGCCTGCACCTGGTCTACCCGCAGTGTCATGGGAAGATGGCTGATCTTGGGCCACCTCTCCCTGAGAGAAATTTACGGGGACACCAGAGCGCTGGGCTCACCTGCTAAGGCGTATGTGAATGTGTGTGGAGGGCTGGGGAGATGAAGTATGCCCAAGTCCCCAGCCAACCACAGGATACCATCTCTTGTGCCTTGGGGAACTACCTTAAGGTGTGTGAACCTGGGCGGCCAGAATTAAGATGTACTTGTGAGTGGTGTCACATATCTCATTTTTTAATAGAGCCCCCAGAACATGCCGCAGTAAGGACTTGAACTCCTCCACCTTTGAGGAAATGTATGCCATCACGTTCTCATGAACACATGCACAAGCGCACAGAGCACTGAGTTTAAGCAATTGTCACAACACACCTCGCTTTCAATCAGCAATCATTTAATCTCTGGAACTCAGGACAGTCCACTGTAACCTGGCTGGGGCCCTCCAGTTCTCTGAGGCTGTGGGGACCTGTTTAGTCCAACGTGTTCCTGTCAACCCAAGGGGATCTGTGGGGACTCAGAGCTTCTGGTACCCTCTAGCACTCCAAGACAGGCTCCTGCATTCCTGCCCCATCCAGGCTGCCCCTCCCCTTACTCTGACGCTGGGCAGGAACCCTTCATAAACCCCAAGGATCTCAGAATAAATGTTCGGTTGTCCAGGGATAGAGAGAGAGAGAGAGGTCCAGTCAGTGCCCGTGGTGGATTCAGAGACCTCCAGTTGGCAGGACTGGCCTCGGCCTGACTCAGGGTGGGAGCACATATTTGTCTTGGCTACGTTCAGCTGACAGTGCCCAGGAAGGCCACATCCCTTGCTAAGCCGGTACACTACTCTGATTGAAGGCCCTGGTTTCATTGAGGCAGCACTGCCTTCCTGAGTGAAAATGCCAGCCCCGAAGCAGGGCCTGCATTTCAGCAGTGGTCGAGCAGCTTCCTGAGACTTAGGATCAAAGTACTGGCCACAGCAGTGAGACGAGGCCTCAGGTCACCCAGCATGGCCCTCCACCACTGCCAGAGGTGGCCAGAGCCTGCTTGTTCAACCCAGGTCTCAGCGCTCACACCGTTGGCCATGCCTTCTGCTCCAGGCTCCTGCAGGTTGATCGATGGGAGGATGCGGGGCTGGGAGAATGTCCACCCTCCCACCTCTGCTAGGGGCCTCAGCCTCTCAGAAAGTTGTGGATGGTAGAGTAGGAGAGCAGAGGGAGGGGTCACCCAGGAGCCTCCGGGAGCCAGGCTAGGCTGCTCCGATGTCATCATAGTCCTCGTCCTCATCAGTGGAATCTGCTTGGGGGTCCGGAGGCCCTGTGGGACCAGGAGGATCGGGTGAGCAGGGGGCACAGTCACTACCCCTGCCACCGCACCATGAGCAGGCCTGTGTCCACCTCCTACCCCAGTCCCTGTGGCACTGTCTGAAACCATCTCATCCTCTTGTTTACAGCTGCCTCCAGCCAGAGCCTTGCCTAGTGCAAGGCTAAGGTTCCCAGGCTGGCGCATGGTGGATGAGTGCGTGCTGGTGGCCTTACCATTACTGATACCTCCCCTATCTGGCCAACCAGCAGCTTCTGCTTGAATGCCCCCGCTGATAGTGAACTCACTTCCTCTTACAGAAACCTCCGAATATTTCCCCATCCGGTCCACATCATCTGCCCTCTCCCCTCCCCTCTCCTCCATCCCCCTGCTACCTGGACATTCAAACTGCTCCACTGGAGGATGGTGGGATGGTGGCTGGAAGTTCTGGTACCATTCTCCGGATGAGGTGCTGGAGCTGTCATCGGCTGAGGTCCCTGCTGAAGGACCCCAGCTAGTTACTCTCTGCCAGGAGCTAGCCTGCGCATAAACTGCCAGAGTCACTAGCCCTGAGGACTCAGGAAAACCAAGTCTGGAGCTGGGCAAATGAGGAAATGAAGGCCCAGAGAGAGGAAGAGCCTTGTCAAAGGTCACACAGCCAGCCATCCGCCCAGGGTTTGGGCTCTATGCCTCTGCTGGGGATGTTGGACATAGGATTGGGAGCTTGGAAGGACACACAACTACCTGCAAACATTGCCTGAGAGCCAGCCAGTTCCAAGCTGGGGGGCTGTTCCATGGGGGGACTTCTCTCAGAAGAAAACACCTGGGGGTTCCATGGAGGCGGCTTGCCGCTGGCATCATTGCAGTAACTCTCCTCAGACGAGGTGCTGGAACCACTGTGGCTCCTCCTGTGGTACTCAGAGCCCAGAGAGGGGACATCCGCCCCGCAGGGTCTGGGGTCCGCAGCTGGGATGTGGGAAACGTGCAACTCTTCCAGTCCTGGGCCAGGAAAAGGGAAAAGCAAGGAAGCAAGAGAGCTTTAAATTAGACTCCCAGCAGAACTTTCTACCAAGGACAGACACAGCAGTTGAGGGGAGTTGCTGCTAGTGGCTCCCAGGGTGAGCTTAGCTACTGAGTTTGGAGGCAAGGTTGGCACACTGCTTCTCTTCTCCAAGACCCACCCCCTCCCAACTCACCTTCTTCCAGGGGTGGCATTCGAAACCTGTTCTGCTGGGCCTCCTCCTCTGTGACCCGGTGCCTCTGGGAATCTGTAGGAAGCAGGGTCAGGTGGAGGCATACAGACAACCCTGACTTGGAGAGGGCTCTACTTTCATCTAGGGTATCTCAAGTCTACTGTGGACCAGTGTGGAGACGGGTGGCTTCTGGCTAGAAACCTGGTGCCTTGACCCCTGCTTCGTGCTCCAGCTGCTCCTTATAAGGATATTACTGACTCTGGGCTCGCCCTTATGCCCTGGTTGCTCCAGAAATAGGCTGATATTTGCCCTGGGAGACACTTCTTGGGGGTACAGGAGAAGCCACAGGGCCCAGGATGATTGTATCCTGTATAGATTTAAGGCTAGGGATCTGGCTTAAGTTGAGTCTTAAGCATGCCTGTCAGCTCTTCAAACCCTGACAATGACTTTGAGTTCCACTGTCACTGCATCTGAGATACAAAATCACACCTTATACACCTGTGCTCAAATGCCCCATTGTATCCTAGTGGCTACCAAACACCCACTCTTGGGCGAGAAGAGGCAGATCCTCCGCATCCCAGAGTCAGCAGGTGGGGTGAAGATAGAGACCACTGCCCAGTGTCCATCCTTCCCCTGCCTGACCCTCAGCTTCATGGGTGGAAGCCCCTTGCCCTGCCCCTCTAACAGCTAGCAGGCTTGCACTCTGAGTGGAGGGCTGAAGGTGAAGGGTGTCCTTGTTGTCCTGCTATGTGGATGTGTCAATGACTCGAATGCACCCACGAAGATAAAGGCAACATCCTAGGGAGTTCACAGCAGCAGCAAAGGAATCTTGGGGGCCCCCAACTTCCAGAACTCTGGTATTTGGAGGGTCTCAGTCACACACGGCTGAACTCTGGTCCTAACTTGACTGTACAGTAGGCATAAGTGGGGCTCAAGAAATTTTGACACCCTCCAAATAGATCCACAGGGGTGAGGGACCCTCTGGCCTAGTCTCTCTCAGCATTGACTGGATACTGATGTAAGTGTTAGCTTCTCTGGTCCTGTTCCCAGCAGGCAGTGGGAGAGCTAGACAGACTGACTAAGAGGCGTGGGCTAGCGTGGCAGTGGAGGAGGCTGGGCAGGCCAGAGTGAGACATGGCTTGGGGGCGGTGAGTGTGTAAGGATTTGCCCGAATCGTGTCTCCCCTGGACCCTCAGAATTTGCACAGCCTTAGGCATCCTTAGATGCATGTGCTGGGCCTGATGATGGTTCTGAGACCCTGCCCAGCCCAGAGACAGCACAGAATATACACTCCTGTGAATAGACAGTCTCCAGGGTCAAAGGGTACTTTGAAAGCTTTACTTTAGGACTATTCAGAATCAGTACAAGGGAACAACAAAGAAGTCCCGTGAAAGCCCTGTGGGCATCAGCAGGTGCCCTCTTGCAGGTCCCAAGCCCCTGGAGCCAGCCCAGCACTCACTGTAGAAGGTGGTCAGGGCCACAGGTGGCTGGGAGCTGAAGTCATAATGCTCATAATCAGATTCGGAACTGGAGTCTGAGTCCTCAGGGACCTGGGGCTGGATAAACAGCATAGGAGCTGGGGAGAGAACAGAGGGTTGGGGGGCAGGGCACAGCACTGAGGTGGGCAGAAAGATTAAGGGAAGGGACTCAGAGCCTCTTAGGAGGGACAGGGGACAGAGTAGCAAGTGACCCATTTCATTTTTAAAATGCAATGAGATCGAACTCAAATTCTTTAGAGACAAATCATGCGTCCTAAAGGATGGGCGACGTGCGCGTGCATGCGTGCACACACACGAGGTGCACGTGCAGAGGCCAGTCCCAGGAGATGGTCACCTTGCTTTTGTTTACTTGTTTTAGATAAGGGCCTCACTATGTGTCCCTGGCTGGCCTGGACCCCTCTATGCCTTAGGGCTGGCCTTGAACTCATAGGCTGCCTGCCTCTGCTTCTGGAGCCCTAGGATTAAAGCCATCTGCCACCGGCCACCACCCTGCATGTTTTCTCAGGTTCTGTTACTGGGACTTGGACCTTGCTGAATAGGTAGACTGGCTGGTCAGCAAGCTCCAGGATCTGTCTGCCTCAGCCTCCCCCTAACTAGGAGGATTAGAGCCTCATACCACCATGCCCACCATGCCCGACTTTTGCATGGATATGGTGTACTCATGCTTGAAAGGTGAGCACTTTAACAGACTGAGCTATCTCCCCAATCCTAATTCTTTTCTTTTCTATGCATTGTGTTTTACCTGCCTGTTTCTGTGTGATGGTGTTGGATCCCCTGGAACTGGAGTTAAAAACAGTTGTGCACTGCCGTGTCAGTACTGGGAATTGAACCCAGGTCCTTTGGAAGAGCAGCCCGTGCTCTTAACCACTGAGCCATCTCTCCAGCCCTCCAGTCTTAATTCTTTTAGTCAGAGAATATGAGAAAAGATCCAAGGGAATCTTTTCTTTAAATAGGGTCTCAGTTACCTCATGTTAACTTCAAGCTGGCCCTGTACTGCTGATCCCCCTGCCTCCACCTCCCAAGTGCTGGCATCACAGGAGTGTACCATCATGTCTGGGTTGTGCAGTGCTGAGCATTGAACCCAAGGCCTGTGTGTATCTAGCAAACACTCTGCCAGTGTAGCCACACCCCCAGCCCTTGTTATGGGAGGATGGTGATGGGCTCTGTGGGGCATCTGGTTAGGAAGCATTAGAAGTGACATCACAGCGAGCAGGGCCAACATTTCCTCTGAGAAACAGCATCTAAAACACTTGGCTTGTATTTGCCCAGAGCTGGTGCCAGGCTGAACTAGAAAGTCATTTGTCTACTAGTCCAGAGGCTGTGGACTGCCCAAGACAACACAGTCCATGCGTGATCTGGCCTGGGCTCCTCTCCTCTTGGTGCCACTTTGGCCTCAGCAGTAGTGACCCTCCAGAGTCCGCCTTCTCCATCCCCCCCAGCCTTTCCCATGGTGACATCCTACCTTCTTTGGGAATGGTGATGGGGACAGCGTGGTAGTTATTGATCCCTGCTTGGATGGCAGTGGGCAGCTGCTGGTGGTTCACTGAAACAGGGAGGGCTAAAGGAAGGGAGGCAGAGAGCCTGTGCATCATTTTTGTTCTATTTTTCTGTCTCCCAGTCTTTCAGGTTCCAGGTTCGAGGGCACATCTCCTTCACCCACACCCAACACAAACAGAGTCTGTTTCTTCCAAGAAGCCTCCGCTAGTAGGCTCCACTACTGAGCGAGCATGCTGGAAAAATCCTTCCCACCATTTAGAGGTTTCTCCGAGCCTGAGCTGGGTGGTCCTTGAAGGACCACTCCCTTTGGGGCTCTTCCACATCTCAATACTCAGGGATGCCTACGCTTCAAAACTGCTGTTTCCTGTCCAGTAACTCCAAGAACCTCATACCTACCATATTGTCCTTTGGCTCTCAAGAGAAGAATAGCTATGAAGATGAGGGAGACAAGGAGGAGAGTTCCCAGGATAATACAGGAAATGAGGAGTGTCAGCTCTGGAGAGTCCTTATCCTTCACCCTCACCAGCACAGAGGATTCTGGAAACAAGCAGGAAAAGAAATAGATGTTGGCCACGTTTATACCTTTTCTTGCCTTCCACTCTGAGGAAACTGCTCCACTTTCCTTTTCACCATCTTCCTCCTCCCTTCTTTTATTCAAATCTTTTCACTGCAGCTTTTAAGTGCTTCGTGTATGGTAAGTGCTCTGCAAGTGTATATTAAATGAGCAGTTGACTAAATGCACTTACTGCCTGAAATTTTCCTCTGGCTACTAGCCCACAGCTGGCTCTTCCTCCTTCCCTACGCCCTCCCTCCCCGTCTTCTGACCTTCAGTACTTAGTCTTTGTTCAGTAGACAATTATTTAGTATCACGTGTGTCAGGCATTATATCTTAGGGTTAAAACATGATGACATTATCACAGGCCTGGAGGCTCTGATGAGTGGGGAGATCAACAAATTGGGCCACATGCTTTGACTGTGTCTGCTTCACCAGGGGGAAAACAACACTCACTCAGTCCTCATTTTTCTCCCCTTTCCTTTTTGGCTGCTGACAGGGTGGTTTGGGCTAGGAAGGGAAGGTAGATTTGGTACCCAGGAGCAGTGTGAGGGGATGTTGAGATATGGGTAGCTTTGCAGTGTAGACCCCAGGAAAACCCCTGGGGCTAAGGGAAGGGTTGACAATGGCCCCCACCTGCCTCTTTGAGGCCTCATCTTTCTTTGTTTTTTGGAGTAGTATGACTCTCCACCCTGACTCCAAAAGGGGACATGGGTACTGTAGGTGCTGCTAGCTTCATTCCATAGCCTGAGCAGCTGCTAGCATCTCACTGTGGTCTATGCTCTTTATCCATAGCCAGGGTCTCTGGCAGGACTCTGGTCCCCCAGTCTCTCCTCCAAACACTGTCCTGCCCCCCCTTGAAAGTCCAATGCAGGCTGTGAGTGATCCAGGCTGTGGGGAAGAGAATCCAAAGAGTGCTCAGTTCCCATAGGGCTCTTTTATATCTCAGACCCATTCTAAGTGTTAGAAACTATTTCACGAAATGACTTCATAGCAGTAGCCCTAGAAAGACACCTTGGTCGGTGGCACATGGCTAGCACACACAGCCAGGATGTGAGGCCCGGGAGCCAGCCCTGGTGCAGGCCAAGCTATACAGATCTGGCACAGGTCTGGAAATAGACTTAAAGTTTCTAGTGCTGGCCAATGGGTCTTGAGGAAGAACGGCTTGGGAAATAATGCAGGAGGGCACTAGACCCCATGCCCTAAGCCTTACTCACAGTGGCTGGTACCCCACAGCCTGGACAGTTCAGGAATGTTGCACCCAACTGGTTCCAAAGCAGTTAGGATCTCTCTGACTTAGGGAGTTTGTGTGTGTGTGTGTGTGTGTGTGTGTGTCTGTCTGTCTGTCTGTGTGTGTACAAGAGCGTGTATTGCTCACATAGGTCATATGGCTGTGGTCCTCTATGGCAGGATGCCCCTGAGGGACTGGTTTGTTGGCAGGATTTGGGACCCTGGAAAAAAAAGCCATCAGCCCGTCTGTAGGCAGACACAAGCATACACAGGTACCTGCACTGCCGGGAAAAGCTACACTCACCTATGGTGACTGGAACTTGGGAAGGCACTTCAGACGTAGACAGATTGAGATGTCTCCGGGAGCCTGTTGGAAAGTACCACCAATACACTGAGTTCACTGAGTACCTACTGTGTGCTGAGCATTGTTCTGGAAACAGAACAAGACAGACAAGTGCCCTGGAACCACAGGCATTGTGGACATAAGGGAACAGAAACTTCCGATGGGGTATTCCCATTGTGGGCATAAGGGTAAGGAAACTTCCGATCCCCTGGGGAGCTGGGTGGACGATGCTTCAGTTAGAATGGAGATGGATGGAAGCATTCCTTCTTCCTGCTGCAGACCCTCTATCCTTTCCCCACTCAACTTTGATTGTTCTTTGGGGCCTCAGGATCTAGGGAGCTATGTCCTCATTAGTGTAATCTACCGTCTCTAGTGGATCTGCTTCCTAAGGTATGGAGCCCATCAGCCGTAGCATCCCAGTCTCCAGCTACCTGGAGGAACAGCCTTTATTCTGAAGCCACAGAAGTTGAGGAACTGTCCCAGTCCTCCAGGCTGGTGAACAGAAAAGCTGGAACTTGGAGTCAGGGATCTGAGCCCCACAGAGATGCTAACACTGTGTCTGTGCAGGTGGGACCCTTATTTTCACATTCTAAAGCTTCTGTAATTGAAATAACGGCCTCACTATGTGTGACAGCCAAGGGTTTGGGCAGTATTTATTTTTAGTTTCTTTTATCACACCGACCACAGCATTTTTTGGTGTTTCTGTCTTTCCCCTTTTCCTTTCTTCCTCCTCGAGGTGTTGAGGTCTGAACCCAGGGGCTTCAGGCACACCAGGGAAGTGATCTCCCACTGAACTACACTTCCAGACTGCAATTATTTGTCTTTATGGTCCATAAGACACCAATGCTGGGGAGGGGCATACGTGGAGAAGGAGGAGGAAGGGACGGGTTGGGAGAGGAGGAGGGAGGGGGAGGGAACTACGGGGGGGATACAAAGTGAATAAAGTGTAATTAATAAAAAAATTAAAATAAAGAATAAATGAAAAAAAAAAGACACCAATGCTGTGGCTTGCCACTGTGGTCTCAGAGTTGGTGAGGTGCAGTAGAAGCCATCTCCTACAGTGGGTGTAAGGCTGAAATGAAACAAGCTTTCAGGAGCTTGACAGTGCTTAGCATGTGACTATAGCTCCCTATGCTGTGTCACACCTTATTGTCATCATCCATGTTTCCTAATCTGATTCCTCCGGCAATCATCACCTTTGGGATAGCGAAGGGGCTTCACTCACTGAACCAATTCCAGCAAAAAGGGACCAACTACTTAGCATATAATAATGACTTCCTTGAAAAATACTTAATCCATGAATTTGGGCCAGTGTTGAGCATCTAGAAAAAAAAAAAAAATCCTGATCGATTAGTAATGTCTGCCTGAGCATGGTAAGGGCAATGGTCTTTCTTGGGCCCGTGTCTGCTAGTTGCTAAGCCAAGGAAATCCATGGACTAAATCTCGTGATGGAGGGGCTGGGGAAGGAATACCTGAGCAGACGACCCTGGCGGCCAACGACTGGCTGCACAAGTTGAAGTTGTTGAACCGCCAGGAACAGTTGCTGAGGGTGAGTTCCTCTCCTTCACAGGAGTAGTACATTACACCTTCCAGGGAGTGTGGCAGCCCCCTGGGCCGATCCACCTCTGATCCGCAACCCAACGACCGACAGAGCACCTTGGCCTCAGACGGGTACCACTCGCTGTCACACACGGTGCTCCAGACCCCTCGGAACTGAACCTCCACCTGCCCTTCGCAGGAGTCGGCACCTCCAGTCAGCCGCCAGGACTGGTGCTCTGCAGGCAGGTGAAAGAAGCAGGCTAAGATGTTCTGGGCCCAAACCCCTGCCAATCTAGAACTCCAATGCAGAGATGAACCCAGACGGTGTTTTCCCTCCTGCGTCTGTGACCCCTTTGTGCACCCCACCTGCTTTGGCTAGCCCTCTGGCAGGGCTCTAGATCCTGGCTGCCCCAAGCGTGGGCCGTGGACATGCAGAAGCAGCTGCATCTGGCGGGTGTGTGTGTGTGTGTGTGTGTGTTACTGATTACTTTACTAACACCCGCCGTTGTTGTGGCTATAAACAAGAAGCACAGGCCAAACAGAACGCTGGTCTGTAATAGTTCAACAGTGGGAGGCAGAGTGGTAGATAGGACACTTCCGGCCTTCAGTCCCAGTCCTACTCAGGATATCCCATCCCAAGGCCTCCAGACTCACTGACCTGAGCACACCACTCCTGCGTCCTCCTTGTGACCGCAGTACTGGTCTCCAGGCAGCCCCGGGCAATCCCACAGGTAGGACTCGGTCCCAGAGCAGTTCACCTGGTCACGGTGGATGGGTCCTTGGCCTGGGGTGAAGTGCAAGCCAGCCAGAGCCTGCACGGCCGTGCCACACCTCAGCTGCTTGCACACCACGTGTGCGTCCTTCAGGTCCCACGTGTCATCGCACACTGTTCCCCATTCACCGTGTTCCAGCATCTCCACTCGGCCCGCGCAGCTGCTGCCACCGTCCACTAACCGCACAGCCTGGTTCTCTGAGGATGGGAAGGTTTAGGATGTTGGGAGTTGGGGCAGGAAGGATGGGGCTTTGGACTAGATGGGAGTGGCTGTAACCTAGAGGGGAGGATTGGGAGCCTAAACTGAGAACCCAGTGGGTGGAGGTGGTTTGGAGATCATGTGGGAGGGACCTGAAGGGCAGGAGGCGGGACCAGAGGTCTGGTAGGCGCGGCTTTGAGCGTAGATCTCGGGCATCAAGCCTCAGCCAAAGGAAGCCTGGGAACATGGCAAATTTATCTACCTGGAGGGAAGGGCGAACATACAGGTCCCTGCCAGGAAGGAGACGGAATACACAGAGACTGGGTTAGGACAGGGGACCAAAGGGGACTAAGTGGACGCTCTGGAGCTCTAGCAGGGAAGGAGTCTGCAGGCCACATCTGAAGCCATGCTCAGATCTGGAAATGACAGGATTTGGTGGGGGCGTCAATGTGGAACTCGTGAGTCTGCCCGACTTGGGAGGCTGGGGGTGAAAGTCTGGAGGTGAAGGTTTGGCTGCAGTGGTTGAAAGCTGAGGTGTAGGGTAGGTAGCGGCAGGTATGTGTACCTGCACAGGTGAGCCACACCAGTCTCCTGTTGCTGTCACACTCGTGGTCTGCCACCTTGCAGAGCTGCCAGTTGGCTCCGCTGCATTGGACGGTTGGTGCCCGCACCCACGTCATGTTCCCGGCCCTGCTGGTGTTCCCAGCTGGCAGCTCAGAGGTAGGTGGCGTCAGGTGGGTAAGCTTCCCCGAGGCACCGCAGTGCAGTGCCTGGCACACGATGTCAGTGATGAGGCCGTCCCAGTGCGCTGCGCACACAGGCTCCCAGGAATCCCCTTGTAGAACCTCCACAGATCCGCTGCAGCGACTGCTCCCGTTCACCAGGCGGACCTCCAGCCGCTCCTCTGGAAGGGTCAAAGATGAGCTGAGACCTCATCAGATCTATGTTCCCATACCTGCGCATAGGGGCGGGGCTGACACTTGGGAGGGATTCACCTCTACCCTGTTTCATGAGCTTGGCCAACACCCATCCCAGCTCTGGGCCTGAGGCCTTCCTGCCAGAGGATGGAAGGACAGGAGAAGTCAGTCAAGGCCTGAGCCTAGATTTCAGTTTAGAGAAAAGTTGAAGCTCAGGCACGGCTCTGGAACTGTTAGACCTAGTGTGAGAATGAAAGGTTGGGTCCCACAGTCCCCTCTCTGGTGCCCCTGTCTCTACTGGCACCCTTTTGTAACAAAAAAAAGCAGGGTTCTGGCTCAGGGGTCCTGTTGGTCCAGGTACTATCCTAGGATGCGCAACAGTGGCAAGACCTGCAGCCGTAGTGGAAGCGGACGACCTTCCTATAGGAACCTTTCTTAAAGTCCAAGAAACCTTCCTATTCGAATGACTTGTCGGCTTCTGCTCCCCAGAATGCACCCCATTGCTCACTCACAGCCCTGCACAGAGTACAGCCTCAATAAACACATGCAGAGCAAATGAAAGACTGCGTCGACAGTGCCCACGACCCCACCACAAACTCTAGCTTCCTCTGCACAAACCCCTCAAGCGGCTTGTGGTCTAAGTGAAACTCAGAGTTCTCATGCCTCAAGGAGAGCCGTATAGTATAGAACCTGGGTCCCTGGTTCGGGAAGGGGTGGTCTCAGGAGTCAGAGGACCTCTTTGATACCTCAAAGTCCGCTGTCCTTTCTTGCTAGCCCAGACACAGTCTGCTTGGCCTCGGAAAGCTGACCGTAGGCCCTGGGAGATGTTCTGCTCACCTGGGTCCAAGGGAACATTTGGGGTGCTGCTGCCGTTTCTGCGCTGGCCAGAGGGGGCTGGAGATGGGGGCCCTGAAATGAACCAGGAACAACCAGGGTGGGTAAGGGAGCTCCAAACTCGGGGCCACAGAAATGCCCTAATGACAAAAGCCTACTGAGGCTTTTGGGAAAATGTGGTTCTCAGGCTTGGGTTCCTTTGCTCCTTTCAGGGTGGGGGAAATTCTCAAACTGTGTGGGAACCGCTGAGCTCTCCGACACCAAGAAACTGACTTTCTCTAAGGGCCTGTTCCAGGTCTTTGCATGTCATAGTCCATTTACTGTCAACATCACAGTGTGGTGTATTGTTGCCAGTCCCGTCTTACAGGGAAGAAAAGGAAGCTCAGGCAGCAACAGTCCTTCGCTGGTGCCAGTTATGTTGCTTTTACCCCTTCAGAGCCACCCTGGACCACTGTGTCCCAGGAGGCTGACCTCCACATCCTCCTGGGGCTTTGGATCCAGGCTATGGGGAGCTCCGACAGAGCTGAGAGGGAGGGAGGAGAGTAGAAGCATGGAGCTTGTGTGGTCCTCATCACCCCCTCCCTCCCTGTGAGGTCCCTCAAAGACTGTCCTTTATCTGAATGCCATTGTTTCTCACAAAGTATAAACCTCTCCCCAACTGTCTCCCTCTGGGTCCACCTCCGCCCCCTCTTGTCTCAGGCCCAGGGAAGCCCCAGGGCTGCTCCCTGGCTCTTCCTGTCTAGGTCCTTCCATCACCCTGACAGAAAATAATCTGGTCTTCACAGACTCCCTCCTTTGCTGCCCAGCCTGACCTAGATGGTGCAATGATTCTGACTCTGTATTCAAAGCACAAACTCCACAGTGACACCATGACTGTGACACTCAGAGCGGGAACTCAGACGTGTGGGAGCGACGATTGCAGAATTTTGCAGAATTCCGGTTCCCACAGCAATGAGCCCAGTGCTTCAATGTGGCTTTCAATATTTCTGCATATGCAGGGATTGGGGAGAAGAAGGGAGGGTTGGGATGGTGGCTGGGGTCGAGGGTGGGGCTGTGTGTGTATGTGTGTTAGTATCCAATTGAGACTGTTTGCATTCATCTGGTCATGTCCGTGTGTGTGTGTGTGTGTGTGTGTGTGTGTGTGTGTGTGTGTGTAACCATGTTGGGGGGGGCTCAGTTCACTTTGGTATCATCTTTCTCTTGGTGTAGATTATCACTTTCTTATGTATAAAGTTGCATATTATTTCTCCTAGACCAGAAAGTCCTGGAGGGAGGATCCCAGGTGGGTCTTCCAGGATGCTCAACACACTGTTTGTCGATTGGCTGGCTGCAGGAAGCACGGAGTAGACGCTGCCAGCTCCCAGGAAAACTGTCACCAATTTATTAAAACTGGCTGCATTCAAGCACCGAGGGCTCTGTGCTACAGGCATTGTCCTATTACTGGCTGCAAAAAAAGAACCTGGCTTTGGGGATCTCGAATTTCCACGATACCCGAGCCTTCCTTTAACTATATAGTCTCTGTTCACAGAGGTCCCAGGACAGGACAAGCGTTTCCTCTTTGCCATCAACACTTTTCTCGGCCTCACAGGACCCATTTCATACTGGGTCACTTTTTTTTCTGCAATAATTTTTTTTTTTTTTTAAAGTTTGCCTTTCCCCGTGCATTTGCTTTGTACCATCAAGACGCCTGGACCTAAAAGGAAAGTGATGCTGAATGGAAGAGGGTGCTCTGTCGACCTGAACTCAGTCCCCAGGACCCACAGGACAACCCAGGACCTCAGTGGGTTGTCCTCTGACCTCACACACTCGAACACACACAATCAGATAAATGTAATTAAAAAAAAAAAAAACAATGTGCAGTGCACTTTTATGGAACAGCACAAAACTAGCAAGAGTTAAAATGTCTGTTCACGGGAAAATGGCTTATGAATGCCTGGTGTGCTCATCTCTCGGCATTGGATGCAGCCCATAAAAGAAGGAGAGAAGAAAGAGGGGTATACACCCTTAATCCAAGCACCCTGGACACAGAGGCAGGTGGATTTCTGTGAATTCAAGTCAGTCAGGTCTCTGCAGCACGTTCTGAGGGCTGGGAAGGAGAAGAAAAAGGAAGAAAAGAGAAACAGAACCGAGCCCTGTTGACCTGAGGGATTTTCATGCTGTCTTCATTAAGTAAGACGCAGAGAAGAAAACAATGAAGGGAAGCTGAGCTACACGGCTGTTAGTGGCTGTGTGTGTAAGGTGCGAATGCGAACAATGAGAAGACGTTGAGACACAAAGCAGCTTTATACTGTTTGTATAAACTAGATGACAGGTGTTACAATTAGCATATTAAAATTAAGGAATTAGCATATTAAAATTGAGGACAGTTAGAAGAGTAATGCCTAACAGGACCTGGGTTTCATTCTCTGTAACACATCAAACCGGGCACAGTGGCACACGTGTGTATCGCCAGCACTTGGGAGGTGAGGCAGGAGGATCAGAAGCTTAAGGTCATCCTCGGCTACCTCAGTGTTGAATGTTGAGTTCACTGACCACCTGGAATTGCCCTTCAATTCCCTAAAACATGACCTTGAGCTGTACTTTGCATGCTGAGGAAGGGATGGAATGAAGGAAATGGGCAGAGCAGCCCAAGCCAACAAAGAGAATGCCTTTGCAGTCCAGTCCCAAGCAGAAACCTGGTGGGACAGGTGGAGCTACTGAGGAGAAGGTTCCAGGGGAAGGTGCCACCAAGGGGACTCTGAACATGGAAGGGGCAAAAGCTCCAAAAAAGCCGGGGGGCAGCACAAGCTCATGACCCCAGCACCCAGGAGACTGAGAGGGAAAGATGGAGAGTTCCAAGTCAGCCAATACTCTTTCTCGGAAAGAAAATAAAATGTACAAGAACCCAGGTGGTACCCATCTATAGTCCCAGCACTTCAGAGGTAGAGGCTGGAGGATTAGAAGTTCAAGATCGTCCTTGTCTGAATAATGAGACTTGGTCTCAAAACAAGAGCAGCAGCAAAGCCCACAGAAGAATCTGAGGAACTAGAGCTCTGACTTATCCTGTGTCATCGAAGCCCCTGGTTCCTGCAGGCATTTTCGGGGAGAGATGTTGGAGGGTTAGTGGTGAGGAGCCTGGACACTTAAGGGAAGCTGAGACCCCACTGGCCATCTCAGCATTGGAGCAAATTTAGTAAGGAGACCCTTAGGTCCCTTCCCTCAAATAAACAGCTGTATGTGTCAATTAGGTGACAGCTACAGCCCGGGGTGCCTGTGGCCACTGGCTCAACCTGAGATGCTGAGAAAAGCATAGATGTGTAATAAGGTTGAGCGCATGATGGATGAAGGTTTCATGTTGGGGAGGAAATAGGGTGAGGGAGGAAAGGAGGGCTGAGAAATGAGAGTGAATCTACAGAAAGAAACTTTTGAATCTACAGAAATAACCTTGTGGAAGGGTGGCACGTGCCAGTGCTGGAGACACGGTTAGAAACACAGGGTAGTGTTTGCAAGTACCCACAACAGCAGCAAGCCAAGCCCTGGGCTGCCTGTGCCTCTACTTCTGGGCATGGAGTAGCCTTGAGAGCTGGGGTGGAAACTCACGGCCAGAGCATGCCTGAACTGAAACTCAAGGCCAGAGCAGGGCCTTCTGTTGGGTTGAGGGGAAGGGGAGGGAAAGGAAGAGAGTAGAGGGAAAGGGAAGGGGTGGTGGGGTGGAACTTCTGGTATCGATTCCCCATGGAGATCAGAGTCCATACTTGGAACTACTGGAGTGTCCGTCCAGGTGAGACTGTCTGTATAACTGAGGTAGGTCACCGACCCTCTCTGAGCCTCAGATGACCCCTCCCTCCATTCCTGGCTACTATGTGGTAAATGGCTCTGCCCTGCCACATGCTCCCTGAAGTAATGGATGGACACCTCTGAAACTATAAGCCCACCCAAATCGATCTCTCCTCCCTTCATTCATTTTCTAATGCATCTGCCACAGCAAGAGAAAGCCTTTCCAACACAGCCCTGCTACATTTTAAGGGACACATGGGCTGCACCCTGATCTGTTTTGCTGGCCACCTGCACCAAGCACAGAGCCTCATCCAAAAAGGATGCTAAAAGGATAGAAATAGATGTAGCTCAATCTTTGCCAGTGAAGAGGGATCATCAGAAAATGAAAACACGTCTTCCCATGGTGAGTTTTTCTGCTTGCTGCTTGCTTTATGTTCTTCTAAAATGCCAGTACATTCTACATCAAAATAAAAACTAACTCACCTACTCACTCATAAATCTTCAAATAAATGCACCAGGTGGCTGCTCACAGCACCCGCGAAACGAGTTTTATAGCCGACTATCCAGGCATTCTGCTCAGTAGATAAAGCTAGTGCAAACCATATGGCCAGGTTAACCAAAGCCAACTCCCTCCTGGGGAAGAAACAGCTCATATCATTGCAAGATCTGGGCATTTTCCCTGCACATGTCAGCATACTCTAGGGGGAGGCACAGTGGAAGGAGCAGCAGCCTAAGCATTGGCAAACAGGGATCTTGGTTGGTTCTTGGCATTAACTTGCTGTGTGACCCTTGCTTTCTCACTGGTATAATGAGTAGATGGCCATCTTAATCTCCTCCACCCCTTACATTCTTTGGTAATTAGACTAACATCTAAAATTGGAGAAAGAGCAACTATTGAACACTTACCTTTAGATGTAGCTGTTATTCAGCTGTTTTGCCTGGAAGATGAACTAGAGAATTCCCAAGAGCCCTTTTGGATGAGCCCCCTTATCAGTCCTATGTCACCATCAAAGACACACCAAGGTTCAGCAAGTGGCTAATTCAGATCTAGGGACACCCAGATGGACAGTGATGATGGCAAGATTTGCACCTGAGTAGCCAAGCTCTGGAAGCCACTCTGCTGAACCCCTAAGTCTAGAAAGGACAGCTTCTTTACACCCCTGGCGCCCCGCTGCAAAGGCTGGGTCAATGTCACTATGTGCAGGAAACTCACAGCCTGAAGGCTGCCAAGAAAATTAATCTGGGAAGACTATATTTTGGTCTTTTGTATGGACCTGTCTTCGGAAGATTGACCTATTCAGTTTGGAGGGAGAGCTGCA